AGTATGAAATGACTTTTTGCCCCACGCCCAGCTAGATTTTCCTCACGCCCCACATTTTGGGCGTAGCCCAACATTTGAGAACCACTGTCTTAGAGCTTAGCTCCTGATCGAGCTCGAAGAGTGTTTCCGGCCGCGGCGGTCTCACCTTGCCTGCATGTTGCCGGCGAGTGCGATCGTGCTGAAGTGGAACGATTCTCGACGCGGCTTCACGCGAAAGTTTTTGACGCTGCTCCAAGATTGCGTCCGAGGGAGTTTTCCGTGGATTTTCTCGTATATCTTCAATCCATTGGGTACCTACGCGCGAAACTGTATTCGATGCCGTTCCCTGCTTCATCCGGAAGATGATTGCGGGAACCTCTGCGCTCGACAAGCTCTTCTCTCAGCCTTATCTTTGCTATCACGGGACAAGCATTGGCTCTGTATGAGTCGCATACTAACGTGATCATACTTTGAAGTTCCTATCGTGGAAGTCGTACTTATCGAATTAGACGAATCCATCGCTCTGATCGTCCCCAGGGTATCCAATGTGAGAGATCTCTGCGTGAGTCGAGCTGGGCTATACGTGATGACTGCGGATTTTTGGCATGTTCGAGGTGAATTTGAGTCTGAGAACACTCCTCGGAATTGAAAACTGAGGAAATCTTTCCCGAATCGCACAGTTGCACGCTTCACGAACGTCTTGCTCCCGATTGGTTGCTTTCCCAGCCATTGGGATTCGAGATTTGAATCGCAACGAAATTCTTGAATGACGGTTATACCGATATCCAGAGGGAGAAACCCTACATGTGTGTTTATCTCTAAGCGTCCCATATTTATTCATTGACATACAATACTCGGCCCCCGAGTACTGTCACTCAGATTGCTTCCGAGGACGGACCCACAGTACAATTACTGTACCCAGAAGGATCATTTCGTGCGGAAGCGCAGAGTACCTGCGCTTCCTTAAGAAATATATTGCAGGCAGCCGGGATCGAACCCTGGCCACCTCCAGCGAGAGCGGCGTCGATGCAGCTATGCACGTTTGCACGAGAAGTGACCCACGCGCTAATCAGTCCGCCACCCGTCGGAGACGGGCAGTTTGATGCAGATGCAGCAGCAGACCCGGGGTGAGGGGTCCCGGCTTCAATCTTCAGGGCCGACCAAAGTTTCTCGTTGGAAAACTGGGGTTCCCAAAGGAGGAGACATGCGAGTTGGGCTTGCATTCTTAAAAAGCAGACAACGTTGGACATCGTAGAGCGAGAAGAAACTATTTGGAAGATGACGAAGCTTCTGGGAAACCTACGCGGGAACCTATGGGGCAACCTGACCGAGAAACCTGAAAAAAATCAATCGGGTGCGGAGTCTCTACCCTGAGAATACGCAGCAAGGAACGCAAAAATCAACATCACTGAAAAAGTCATGTCTTTCGCTCGGGAAGCGATGACGGAACAGATTTCATCAGATCAAGTTCGAACGCAACACTAAAGAGGCTGGTTCTAGTTTTCATTGGAAATAAAGATCTCGGGTGACTGGTCATAATCAGTAGCGAATCCGCTTTGCTGTTTCGCTCTGGTAAAGAGAGCGGGTCGCCATTCTGGGTTCTGAGCCCCATATAGATCTGAGTCCAGCCCCTTCAGCAGAAATTCTGGGTGCCCCCTGTGATGATCAGACGCTCCGTCGCGAACGTTTGTCTTTGGAGCCGGTATTCAGAAGGTACCCTCGGACGCATGCCCAGCGGCCGACAGGAAATCCGCAGCCGCTTCGTCGCCCGGTCTCGGAGAGGGTGACGAACCTGGGTTTTGTAGACGATTTATATCCGGAAAGTATTTAGCAAAACTCGGAACCGGTTCAGGGTTTCTGAGCCCGCACCTCCAACCCCGCTAAAAACTTGGCCGGGAAGTTCTTCCGGTAACTTTGGCACTTTCCTTTCTAGAAGGACCTCCACGTAGAGAATATTATGTCTTCGCTTGATGTCCTAGATTTGGTCAACTCTCTCCAAGTGGTGACCCGGGAAAGGACCCTTCTAGTATTCGACCACCGTACGTTGGTTTCCCACTGACGATGCTATCCGGTTGGCTCACGAGCCACTGTCCAATCATCCCTTGCCAGACCCTCGCCCAAATCCTTTTTGGGAAACCGACGACAGCACAGTGCCGGAGTCACTATGGCAGATCTGTAGGAAGGTCGCTTTCTAATCCTTTGCGCTTGTGTCTGACAGCCTCGGGCCCGATCATCGTCACTCTCGGATCCTGTAAGTCTGCGGAAGGCTATGTGAGCACATTGTGCTTTTGACTTGTGGCCAGGTCCACCGGACGAGTGCAACCGCGTGCGTCGCATCCGCTCCGCGGCGCTTCTGGTGCATCGATATACTTATGTTGAGAGCATGAGCGGAGCTTGTCTCGGGCCTAGTGCGGCTCCTCGAAATGAATTTGATTGTAGCGAGCCCAAGTGATTAGCGAAACGTAACGGAGACGAAGGCCAATGGAAGCATCCTTTAGAGATTATCCTGCTCTAAATCAGATTGAGCAGGTACTCAATCGTGAGGACTCATTCCATCCTTTCAAATACTTGAGCTCGTCTCGCGGTGTTCTTCGCGGGAAGGTCTGATCATTAGGTACGTTCCGAGGCATGATTTCTCGCGATCAGCTTCGTATAAGTTCGATCCAAGTGGTCCTGGGCTTCGCCTGGCCCATTATGGGACGGAGTAAATACATACATATATGTTCGATGGTTGAGAGCTCAGGCGCGTGCGAAGGATCAAATAGAAGAGAAAAATGGTGACAAAAATCACCATCAGCACTCAACCTGACATTGAGGGGTATAGCCAGAAAGGTTGAGATCTGATGCTCAGGCCAAGTGCTCAGCGTGTGCTCAGATCAAACCTGCGCTCAAATCAGGTAGCATCACCTGACATCACTGCTGTTCGCTTTGAATTCGCAGATTGTTACCAACTTCCGCGATCGGTTTTGGTTTCATCCCTCCCTCGCATCCGACGATGAATCGAAAGAAGACAGACTCGCGGATGGTGCAATTCCCTGTCAGGGCACCCGGTGCGAAGACGGATCCGATGAAGCAGTCGGGGAAGGAAGTGGGTCATTTTTCGGCCCAGGCAAGACCTTCGAAAACCGCGGTAAGCTTGTTGATCCGCACGCCCCACGCATTATCACCCTCAGCATAGGCATTCAGGGATGATTCGTACTCACTGGATACAGATCATTGGTATGGCGGCTCGCCCTACCGATAGTCGGTTAACTCCGACGATTAGAGAAGTAAGGTTCGGAGGCGAGCTTGTTGTTGTTGCTGTTAATTCTTCTCTAAAAGGGCAAGAAGAGCATATATGTATATGTGCAAGAAACCCCACGATGGGCCCGCGAGGCTCTGGATGCGAAGTTTTTGTTCACTGCGACAGTCTCGGCAATGGTGTCGGTTTTGTAATGATGACGCAGCCGAAGATTGGGGGCTCGGTGGTCGAAAAAGCTGTGACCGTCGTGGCCTCGGAGAGACTTGAACAGCACGAGAGTCAGCACGGCGATGGAGCTCCAAGACAGGGGGGAGTCGCCCCGGGGGCCGCTTTCTATCAAACAAAGCGGACGAATAGCCTCTTTTCTCAAGGAGGTTGATGTATTCCCGCAGATGGGGGGACCAAACTGTAGAGCAGTACAAGAGCTTCGGAAGGACTTCTGGTAGAGTTTCAACGGGAAGGAGGGATCCTTGATTATAAAAGTTCTCAGGATCATCTCACAGCGGGCATATACTGCGGGAGCAACTGACAGCACCTGGCGCCGGAAAACAAAAACGGCAGGCAAGAACGCGCTAGGGTCAAGGCCGTTGGCTCGACGGAAAGAGGGCGATCGAGGATGCTGTCGACCTGACGACGAGACAATTACCTAGGGAGAGGTTCATTTCGTTCTGACCGGCTCATAGAGCAACCTGGTCGATAGCCCGCTGCAATAAGATGGTAACAGAACGGTCTCGACACAGATCGGAAGTCCATAGTCCATCATTCTGGACATCCGGGGATTTCTGGAGGAATTTCCCCGGAGGGATTTGGGATTTTTTTTCAGTAGAGAGGATGAGCTGGAAACGGCGGATGGATTCGAGAGGGGCTGAACATAGCGGCTCCCTCGAGTTCGATCAGATCCGTGGAAGTGAACTGATAGAGAGGGTCTGAGGAGTTTCGAGGTCTTCAGGTAGCATCGACGAACCCTCCCGCAGACTCGATGAGTCAGGCCGAGTCATCTGTAGTCAAACCCAAGAGAGATAAGGCCGCTACTACGAGATCGATGAGGACAACAGTTACCTCGTTCACCACCACTCCGCGAATAAAGGTCAATCACGCTTGATCATAATAATGTCGGGCTCTCCTCGCACGTGATATATCACACTTCCGCAAAACATTCCGGCTCGAAGTCTCGGAAACTTGAAAATTGACCAGGGTTTAGTGGTTCACGGGGCATTGCCGGCGGGAATTGAGCGGATTTCCTCGCAGCCATTCTCTACCTATCGGGAGCACTCCGAGTGGCCCCCATTCTCGGCTTGTCCCCGCTACATTACCAACCCGCGGTGTTAATCGAAGGTAAAGCTCGGACGCAAATTTTGCAGCCTGGAAAGCCAACCGCTCCTCTGTTCCAAGTCACCAGCTACCCGAATCGCACTGAAAACAGCAGGAATTCAGCAATGGAGGTAACTACTTGCACGCGTATCATGCAAGGGCGTGATCAGGTACTCGAGCGATGCCCTACTTCATGCGTTTCATGACAGTTAGTAGAGGAAGTCTCCGAAAAATTCGGGATAAAAATCAAATATTGAGGCGGAGTCGAAGGGATAGCATGTATATTTTCTAGCCTTCTTCAAAGGCGCTGTCGCGTCCTTCGCGCATCACCGCAGCGTCGCCGAACAGTCAATCGTCTTCGAAATCGAGAACTACTTCGGGCTGCTATCACGCGAAAGCGATCAGTCCTGCTGATCCTCTCAAAGTTCGGGGTCCCGACGGCGAGCCGCGACAAACCTCAATTAGGTCGATGCCAACGCCCATATTGAAGAAGTCGTCAGAGGCTACTGCCAAGGAGGAGAGAGACCGACCCATACCACCAGAATGTGTCAGGTTGTGATCATTAGGAATGCATCACGCGAAAGTTCTTCGAAGTCAATTATTCGGCACCTCGCCACCTCGAGAATCATATATATCATAATTTCTAGATGTGATGTGTGCATGCGGGGGTTCCTCCCAGAAAGAATCGATAAACATCGCGAGGCTTGTAGGAGAATGGAGTCAAGGCCGAGGAAAGTTTTCAATGCGACCGCAATGCGAACCGCTGGAACCGAGCAGGAGACATACATCAAACGGGGAGCCCATCAACGGGAGGTTCAGGTTAGAGCTTGGCATTCGAGAACATGAGAACTTACATCAGAACCTACAATGGTCACCTCACGCTGGACCCCCGTCACCGCCCCCTCCTGGGGCAGCGATAGAAATGCGAGGCTCCCTCGCTCTACGGTGGAGAGGAATTCGGAAGAAGCTTTTGGAAATTGAAGCTGTCTGAACGCGCGAGTCAGCATGATTTGAGCAATACTCATCCAAGTGAAGCGCCATCGATGGGGTATCGAGGGTCATTGCATGATGCCTCGTTTGACATGTGAGGCGGGGGAATGGATCGCAAGCTGTGCGCGTGATCGGAATGCTGCGCGCGATGAGAATGAGGTCCTATGGAAGATAAAGAACCAGATGCTACCATGTCGGGAAACCCATGACCGCGGAATCTAGCTCCTTCGGGAAATGGACTCCAACGCTAGCTCGGAATAGCGGTCATCCATCCCAGCGGCACCGGTGGTCCGTGCCGAAGTACGGCTCGGGACCTTGAGGCAAAGTTCCCCCTCTCTCCGCTCTAAGCCAAAACTCTTCTGTGAAGATACTCAGCTTTTCGACTGCAAAACTTGAGAAAGCCGTCCGTCCTCGAAAGCGCCTCTAGGTAGTACCATCCAGGTTCGAACCGTCCTCTCCCCATGGTCGGCCAGTGAACTATCTTCCTGGCATTTGATTCTTCGGTGGCTCCCCGGCTCTTCTACCTGAATTCTACTCTCTGGAGCCCCCCACCGAACGAGGAAAAATTCCCGGAGTGTCTAGAAATATATAGGAGATGGAGTTGTAGGGTAATTTGCCCTGAGGAGAAGCAAACTAAACTGGGGGAAGCCGTCTCATTCGTTCCCGGAGATGTGCCGAGTCGCTCATGAGACCACTGGCCCATTACAGGTGAAGAAATCGAACTGGCGTGCAAAGCATGAAGATTTTCTCAACACTGTCCGAGAAGCTAAAAAAGTTCAAGATCATTTAGCTCGAGGTGGCAAGCTCTCAGATCTGCCTCCGCCGCGTCCATCTGAGAATCCTGATTACGTGCAATGTCCACATTGCGGTCGGAAGTTTGATGAAAGCGTCGCCGAGCGCCATATACCGAAGTGCGCAAACATTTTGTCGAACAAGAAGAAAACTGCGCCGAATACGAAGAAACGATGATAGTGTGGAGACCCCGCATGGCGGTGAATGCCTCCACCTAACGCTTGTCGAGTCGCCCCTCTCATAACTTCACGCTCCCCCTCTCTTAAATCTCATGATCGTTTACGACTAAGGCTTACGCTACACATATATATGTCCGAATGGTCTGGGTCCGTCGCTTCGTCCGTTTCATCCGTTTTCTCGAAACTCCGGCTTTGTTGTCCGAATTCGGGACTTTCCGATGAGGAGCAGGTGGTTCTGATATATCACTCCGCGAAATCGGACGGAATCTAGTGGACGATTCGATCTGGAAGAGAACGTAGCCAGAGTATATGTAGTTGCCAGATCAAATGACACGAACGAAGCTGTACAGAGGTATCAAGGCGGTACATGAAGATTCATCGCCGGACAACTCATCGCCGAGACAAGTCTTCACCGTACAACTCATCACCAAATCTGCCGAGGTGAAACCCGAAAATGCTCGATTTACAGCTCGTCTTTCGCTTTACTTCATCACAGGGAAACTCTCCACTACGGAATAACTTTATTTCTACTACGGGTTGGCAATCACGGAATAGCTCGAACTTCGTTATGAACCCGTGTATCGGCGGCGCAGATGTCCGATTCCGAGCTGCCCAACTTCTCGGAGGCGGTTCGGCTCTATACCCTGAATTTATGGACGAGGCGCCATTTTTTCTGAAATTTACCCCACTAGATTTCGCGATGGCTCGTGCGGCGATGAGTAGTCTCAGCGATGAGTTCTCGGCGATAAGTTGTCGGTGATAAGTTGTCCGTGTCCGGTATCAAGGAGCTCAAAGAGTCCCTAGAGAGTGCTGCCATCTAATCGAGCTTTCCTTCATTCGGAAACTTCACGTCGCTACGCCGATCTGTCGGAGAGATCTTCCATTGAGTTAAGAGAGGCTCCCTAAATACTAGAAATAAATAAATCCGTGCCTTCCCCCGACGATATCCCGGTCCTTCTATCTAAATTCTCAGGCGGCCTCATCTGAATGTCCATGCTTCCTAGGAATCTTACAATTAGTCATTCCGATTATCTTTAATTTCAAGCGCTCATACGATGGAAATGGTCCAGGCACACATGACTCGGGGCGATTCTTCAGCCATCCGTCATTTCTTGGGTGAGATTTTGCGGGGGATCGCCTTGACCTCAACTCGAAACTCACCCTCTGTACTCTCTGGAGCCTGAAGCTTTTTCTTCATGAGCGATGCCAATTTTTCTCTGCATACCAAATGAAGTACGTACCGTACTTCCGTATTCTTCGTACGCTTTCCTGCACCATGTTCGGCCGGTCGGAACCGGAAAACTGTCCAGGTGTACAGAAGCTCTATCCATGAATAGAGTAAGTGGACTTCGCAGACATAACAAGTACCGCGTCATTTGGTGAACGAAATCGAGTGGTCCGACCGGTTGCCACCCGTTTGAGCGACGGAGCATACCTGTTCGCGCGCACGTCTCTCTTGAGCGCAGATCCGGTGATATCCGTGACCGTCAGAACGTCTTACTTATGGATTATACACGATATCAAAGACACTGACTCTCTGGGGAGCACGTCCCTGAAGTTGATAGTTGCGAGGGATAAGTCGTCGATCTCCGAGAACTCGTGGGAAGTTGAAATTGTCATCAGCTGAAATCACAAGCATCCAGTTCCCGATAGTATCTAATTCGAGAACTCAAGAATTCGAGGCTCGGCGGACAAATAACAAGGGAAAGGTAACATTCGGAGTTCTCGATACTTTGAACTAGCGTGTTTGGCCTGGTCGGCGGGTTGCAGGAAGCTTGAGATGAGGGAGCAAGAGCTCGCACGAGTTCTGCGTTTACCTCTGAGAAATCGGGTCTACTTCTGGTAAGGCAGGGAATCCAAAGGAGCCCGATCGACACATCACATCATTCGATTCGGGCGATTTATCCCCCAATTTTCACATCATATTTTGTAGTAAAGACTATGAGGTACCGGACAGCGGACAGTGTACCCATCGTTGTCTCTAATGATTTATTCCAACTGCCTCTCTCTCTTATGCACCATCTTTCGAGTGTCGGCAATTTCATCACATGACGCACATCCGCACATCACACATCGCTCATGGCGACTCCAGATTTAGATTTCTCGAAATGCGCAATGATCAATTCTCATCTTTTCTCTGCCCATCACCCCACATTAATTGGCAGTCTTCGATTCTGTTACATCGTTCCCTGAGTAGGCATGTCTCCCGAGATTCCTATGAAAAGCACAAAACCTCCGTATGTGATTTGTAGTCCCCGAATCGCCATCCATCAACAATTAGAAGATTCTCGTACACAGCACAGAGGAAGCTGAAGATTCTTGATTTTCACAAGGAGAACGGATCGTCTTACGGAATCTGCAAAAGCATGCTGTCTAGTCCAAAATTCAGAGACAAGGCAGCAAGCTCAGAAGAACATCCGGATCTCGCAGAGCTTCCATACGTGGCAGGGCAAAGGCGGATCCGAGGGGGGGGGCGATGCCGCGATCGCCCCCCCGTAATTTTTTTTCTGTGCACTCCTGACGAAGAACCAATGCCGTGATGAGTGATTCCGTATTGAGAATCAGAGACCGCTCACAATTCACGTTCTCGACTAGGAAGTCTCTCGACACGTAAAGAGCAATGAAACCTATCATCCGTGATATAGATTGGCGTTATTATCTGTACGCTGAACAGACTCGACAAGAGGAGCAGGGACAAACTTTTCACGTTTGACAGTCCTTCGTGATCCTCTCTCTGCATGTCTCGCGCGTAGCTCACGTTCGCGGCGGGAATCATGCGCACATAGCACGTCAGCGAGGAAGCCCGTGCAATTAGAGGAAATGTGCGAATGTTCGATTCCTACACCGGCCTTGTTTTCGTCGCGCAAAGAATATCGCTTTCGTCTTCTCCTGTGACCGACGGAAGTATGCCCGAAGCGAAACTTTAAGTACTCCGGATCACGTCCGGAACGATGTCTCGAAAAAGGGTTCAACAAACCCTTGTGGAATTTTTCGCGGAGAGGTGTCGGATCAGTAGTGAGTCCGGAACCCGGTCGGCGGAGCTCAATGGAATAGACTGTGATTCCCCCGAAAACGGAAATGGGCATTTAGGCGCTGACTGTGAGTGCGAAACGCCGCCAACTACGCTCAATAAAACGGCCGGTGATCCCGTAGAGAGCGATCGAGAAATCTCAGGCTTCAGGTCCGCAGCCTCAGATCAGACTATTCTGACATCCGTGAGAGACAAAGATGATTACATCTCGAAGGCCGAGCGTCCCGAAGAAGCGTTCTCGATCCACCCGAAAGGCGCGAATATCGAGAAACGTCACTTGAGACGAAACCTGTTGTCTGTATTGTCGCTACTGCCCGTTCTTCGCATCGGAATTACTCGTGAACCATCCTCAGCGTCGATGGACCCGAACGGAGTATCCGCCTCCTCAAGATGAAACCATGTCGCCACCCGGCCCTCTAGATGAGCTCGAGCTAGGGCGAGAGACGCATCGATGTTTAGACCAGAGCTCGTTATCCCACCTTTTATTTGTAAGAGCCATTGTCGTGCCACCAACCCCTTTGCCACGGCGTCATACATCACCAATCTTGGTCTGCTCCGCGGCGCAGAGCTCCAACTGCCTGCCATCGATCGAATCAGCTCGTTGAGCTGGGACGTCAACTCGATAAACTGCTCCTGCGACATGGCTATTTACAGCACCGCCGATTCAAGATACGTAAGCTCCTCCCCCAGACCCGCTGCTCCACCGAAATCCTCCGCGATCCTCCTGGAAGAACTCCAACGGTTGCCGATTGCCAACTTACCGGCTCCGCATCCCACTTCTGAGTTCTGAGCTGTCAGATCTAATCGCTCACTCCAAGGAAAATCAACGACCCAGAATTCCTCGAATCACAATCCGATTCATTTTCGACCCTCCGACTCCGCGAGGTCATCGCTTCTGTCTGACTCTATCTGCACCTACACGTGTACGTTATGCTTTTTGCTATCGACATCATGCTTTGTTATCAGCTGCGCAATCGGCTATCTAATACGCCTCAGAGCAGGGTCTTCTACTCCGCGTACTGACTCCTACGATATGAGACTCAGACCTATCGACACTACCGACACTGAAAATTCGCGACGATGGCCTGATTCTGATTTGAGGTACGCTGGAGGTGTTCGGACGAATGTCCTTATCGTTCCTTCTCAGGACGACACCAGCGTCCGTCTTGATGAGGTACGATCTCGGGAACTGATGTCTGTTAGCTGGAGCGTGATAGGGCGAAAACGTTCGGTGTGTAATGTCCCATTTTTTCATGGCTTGAGCAAAAACAGAGCTTGAGAAAGGCGGACCATTATCGGAGATTTGGACGGAGGGGATCCCTTGTTGAATCCACCATTGCTCGAAAGTCAGGAGCACATTCGTGGCTGTTTTTGAATTGAGCTGCTTGAGAAGAAAATGCCGACTGAAGTAGTCAATCCCGACAAGGTACGTTCGAGTGTCGTCATACATCAAATCACAGGATATCGAACGCCACGGATGCGGAGGGGGAGGGAACGGCATGAGCGGTTCTTAGGAGTTGGCTCTCGCGTGCGACTCCTATGGCGTACATGCCTGACCGTGACGCCTCGCACATTCTGCCAAACCTGGACAGTAAACCGATGCTCTTGCCAGGCGGAGAGATCTTTCGAGGCCTTAGTGAGGAGATTTTTGATGATGGTGAACGCGCTCGGTCGGGGGGAACAAGACGATTGGAGTATAGATGGAGATGGTATCTCAGTCCTTCCACGATATGGAGGTCGTCTCTCACATCCCAGAATGGCCTTGCTAAGGCATGACATGATTGTTTATGGTTGGGCCTGTTCGAGTTCGTTAGGCTACCACTTGCACTTGTTGATCCTCATCTGTCTACAGTTGCAGCATTCTCCTGCGTTCGCCGGACATCGCTATTAGGCTATGCACATTGACGCACTTTTTCTCGATTTCGCTCGTCTGAATCTGTTTCTGGAGTGGTGTGCGGGATAGAATA